CTCCTCGGCCACGCTCAGGTTTCCGCAGCGCCGGTGCCCCCCGGCGCCCCGGGTGGGACGTGACCCCGCCCCCGGCGAGTCGGGGCGCCCCCACGGAGGGGTGCGCGGGTCGCCCCGGCCCCCGCGCCGACCCCGCCGCCCCGGGCCGCGGCGGGCGCGGGAGGCCCGGCCGGGAAGATGTCTCCTCTCCGTGCGCGCAGCTTCGCGCGAGGGTCAGCGACGGGGCAGCGGCCGCCCGAGCCGCGCCGGCCCTGCCCACGAACAGGCTCCCGCAGCTCGACAGCTGCCCGACGGGCTAGCAGGCTGGGGACGTCGACGGAGCCCGGCCAGAGGTATCTGAGCAACGCCATGCGAGCAGCCCAACCGCGATCAGGGCATTTCCCCAGCCAATCTCGTGCTTTGGGGCCCGTTTAAATTCTAAATCCCATAAAGGACCGTGGCTTGGGCGTTACGCATCCGGGTCGGCACTGTTGGCTGCACTACACTCTTGCCGAGAGGTGTCACACAGATCTTTTTCTCCCTGCCTTGGGTTCCCACTCTTTAACCTCTGATTCCTGGGATCCGGGGATGCAGGGCAGGGGAGGAATGGAGTGAATCATATAACTTCTATAAACAGCCTTCAACTCTTTTAGGAAGATGATAAAGACAATTGAAATAATGATAGCTTCTATTTCTATTAAGATTTGAACTCTTGGGTAAAGGCACTATGCAAACCCAATGTATTATTATTTATTACCACACGGTGTTTTTCTGCATGCATACGTCGGGAGTTTTACAGACATTCTCTACTTTGTTTCACAGCATCCTTAGGAGTCAAGCTAACGTGCCTGGTAGTATTATACTCCTGTTAAAGATAGACGATTGAAGTTTGGAAAGGTTAAACAGCTTGCCTAATTACTCTAACAGGAGTCCAGCGCTCTGCGATAGCAGACCGCAGCATCTCACAACAAAATGAAAGGTTTGTTAGCACGCTTGGGGTGATGAACACCGAGTGGTGTGTGGAATTCTAGAATCACCGTACGGTACACCTGAAACTTAGACTGTATGTTAACTGGGATTAAAATTAAAACTTAAAAAAAAAAAAAGATTTGTTAATATGGCCTTACCCTCTTGCATTCCAGTCACTGGGAAATATTCTTTATTCTGATACCAGTTTTTGTTCAGACTTCTTAGATTTTCAGGAGCACGGATGTGAAGATCTTCACCAAAACTTTATCAGGTCCAAAGCCTTTTTAAGTCTTTCAGACTACAGTAAAATATACCTTAAAAGCAGCAGTCTTTCACATTGGTGCTACCAGACATGGTCCCAGAGGCAACTGGCTGTCTATCGGTATAGAAAAAGGCAGCAGCTTGCTTTGTTTTTAAGTAGAAGAGGAGGACTCTTGCTATCCTTAGATTAAGTGTTAGGCCTCATTGCTATTTGCAAAATAAATGGCTTTATTACCTTGCCACCTGTCCTTGTAACCCGTGGGATACTTCAGCGAAAAGAGAAGGAGAAGGAGGTCTCTAGCAGTAGCTCAACTTGTTTTTGCTCTTTTTCTTATGGTTCCGACCCCCTTAAGTAATTAACCGTCAACACCGAGTGAGTTGCTCATTTTCAGCAAAAAGATACCTCCTACAGATTTAACCCAGTTGGTACGCTGGGAGGAAACCTAAGAAGGCTCTAAGAGCAGTAACAGTAATACTTCATTTGAACAGAACTGCGAGTAAAAGTTTGTCAGATTGCAACCAGCTCTTTTCCAGTTGAAAGCTATTTAACTAGTGTGCATTGCATGGCGGGGCCGGGGTGGGGGGGGGGGGGGGGGGGGGGAGGAGAAATAGCGTTTAAACAGATATACACAAGCATTCTTTGTTAATATTTGAAAGATGTGCAGGGTGAGATAAGAGATAGTCAGGTGCCTAGTGATTCCTCCCAAATCCCAATTGGCAAAGGTGTAATTTTGAGGCTCGCTGCTTGCCCTAAAAGGACATTGTCAAGAGTAGACTTTGGGTGATTCCCCAAGAAGGGCAGTAGAGCTATGAACTGTATGGCTTCAACTGTAACTGCAGGGAGATGCAGAGAGTAGTAGATGAGAAGGAAAGAAAGGTGCCTTCTAGAGACATGGAGAAGAGGACCCCTGGTTGAAATTAGCTGGTACCTTAATAAGATATTAACACATCTCTGCCTTCTTGAGCAAAGCTGAGACCCAACAAGTGCTAAGAGTCAAAATCCAGATCACCCACTTCTTTTGGGAGACTTTAGTAGGTGAAAGGAGAACTGTGTAGTCTCATGAAGTAAGTTAATCTATTTCTAATTTCTCTGCACTCCTTAGATGTTAAGGAAATAGGGATGTCTCAAGCAGTAGAAGTCTAAACCAACATAGAGAAATCTGCCTCGAAGATGCCCTAAGAGGTAGCATAACTAGTGGTTAAAAAGCTTTGACATCTGAGACTGAAGGTATACTCTCTACCAGCTATCTGATCCTAATGAACTCCTCAAAGCCCGTTTTTCATCTATGAAGTAGGAAAATGCCTAACTCTCAAATGAATAATGTCTTAAAGCTCAATGTCTGGCACATGATAACCTCCAATTGTGAGCATTTACTATGTTTCTCACCTCTGTTGTTGTTGTTTTTTTTTAAGTTTATTATTTATTTTGAGAGCATGAGCAAGGGAGGGAGAGGGAGAGAGAGAATCCCAAGCAGGCTCCATGCTGGCAGCACGGAGCCCAACCCCAGCTCAAACTCATGAACCATCGTGAGATCATGACCTGAGCCTAAACCAAAGGCAGAAGCTTAACCAACTCAAGCGCCCAGGCGCCCGTTTCTGACCTCTAGTTTTAAGGAAAGTTTTAAGTAAAGATGTTTCAATATTTAGGCAAATTGACATGGAGTATAAGTAGTGACTTAGAGCTTCTCCTCTTTCCCTTTCTAGCTGCTAAGCCTTTCTTTCCTCCCTA